GTGTACTAGAGACTTAAAAGGGGATATAAGCATACTTGACTAGTTAATTAAGTTTGGTTTGGTATTTTTGACCATTTATGTGCCATGTGTGTGAACTTGATATTTCATCCTTATTTGTGGATCGGGCCGATCGCCTCGGTATGAATAGATGCATCTATAGGCGCGCCGTCGACCCTCGGCAAGTGCACAGTTTATTTCTGTTGGTTCAGGCCGTCGCCTTGGTATTATGTGCGCATGTTAATTGTGGAAAAGCTTATACATGCTTTATTTTGCCATTATCTCATATGATAAATTATAAACTTGATGCTGTAAAGTTCTTGACTTATACCACTTGCCATAAACTATTGATGCTTGTAAATTCCATGATTTGAACTCATCACACTTATATATATTTTAATTGACCTTAGTAAGTATCGAGTCGACCTCTCGTCTCTACTTCTTCGAGATTAGACGGGATACTTACTGGGTACATGCTGGTTATGTACTCATGCTACACTTCTGTACTTAAATGTACAGGATTTGAGGCAGATGGATCCGAACATCATTCTGGTGCATATCAGTGAGCGCGTCTGGGACTTCTGCGGTGAGCTGCATTCCCTTTTTGCCGATCCGCAGCCGAAGAAGTCTTCCTTGTATTTTTGTTGTTTCTGTCTATCCTGATTCCGGCAGTAGGATAGGGTATTATTCTTTTTGTGTATATTCTACTAGTTGCCCGTAGCTTGTGACACCAGGTTCTGGCACACACAGTGGTAGACGTTATTTTAGGTTGTATAACTGTCTTTATATTTTATTGATCTTTACTGGTTTTTAACTTTAAATCGGGAAAAATCTATTATAATGGTTTTTGGCAAAGGTAAAAGGAGAATCTAATTATACTTCCGCGTTGGCTGGCCTGACAAATGGCGTCGGGCGCCATCACGACCTATTATGGAAAATGGGTCGTGACAAATACGAGAATCAACATATGCCTCTACCCAGAAACTGGTGTCACAACATTCAAGGACTACTAAGATTACTACATACAACTGTTTGAAAGAAAGTAACACTACCTGTATCGAATACAAGAGATAACAGAGCATAATAAAAGATAGAGGAGACGCCGGGCCTGTGGACGCCTGCAGGGCTACCTCGGTGTCTCGGTGGACTGAAGGTTGGCTCCCCTACTACTGCTGACCAAGTGCTGATCCGGTATCTGCACATAAGTGCAGAGTGTAGCATCAGCATAACCGACCCCATATGTTGGTAAGTGCCTGGCCTAACCCCGGCGAGGTAGTGACGAGGCTAGGACCAGACTCCAGATAAACATGTGTAGTTATATATATATATATATATATATATAGCGGAAAGATAGACGGAAATAAACAATTAAAGCTGGGGAGGGGAAGCATGCTTCGGGGATAGCAGATAAGACAGAATCTGAAGAGAATAATAAGGAAACCAAAATTTAACTTCTAACACGGATAAGGAAAAATAAAGGCAGATTTCACTTTCAGTACACATCTTGTTATAGGCGTGCAACCCGATCCCATTTCTCTTATCTTGTTGTAGGCGTACCACCCGATCCCATTTTAGTAAATCTTGTGGTAGGCGTACCACCCGCTCCCATTTCATCAAATCTTGTGGTAGGCGTACCACCTGCTCCCATTTCATCAAACCTTGTGGTAGGCGTACCACCCGCTCCCATCTCAAGCCAATACCAAATCACAAGGAAATCCCGGCAAGGGAACAAAAGCAATATAATACTTCCCGGCAAGGGAACAATAATAACAAAACAAACATCCCAGCAAGGGAGAATCAGCTATATCCAATCTTAACTCAACTTCTACTCAGCTCAATTAATACCAATACTCAGTCATAAATAAGATCCACAAAAATAAACTAAATCCTTGCTCAATATTCGAGAATCATCAATTAAAGCATTCGTAGTATCAATTAAGAACACAACAACTATCAATTTAAGACTCACGGTCATGCTCGACACCAACGTATAGATACTCGTCACCATGCCTATACGTCGTACTCAACAAGAATCAATTAGCAAATAGGACACAACACCTAATCCCTCAAGCTAAGGTTAGACCGGACACTTACCTCAAACTTCCACGACCAACTCAATTCTCAAATATCGCCTTTCCTTTCGAATTCGGCTCATATTCAATTGTATCTATACATAATCGACTTAATAACATCAATAAATGCTAAATAATCCAATTCCAATGCTTAATTATAGCTTTCTAATCATTCTTCCCAAAAATCCAAAAATCGACCCCGGGCTCGCTTGGTCAAAACACGAGGTTCGAACCAAAATTCGATAACCCATTCACCCACGAGCCCGAATATATAATTAGTTTCAAAATTCGACCCCAAAACGAGGTCTAAATCATAATTAATCAAAAAGCCCTAACTCTACCCAAATCCCTAATTTTTTACCCTTAGTTACATATTTTATGCTTAGAAATCTAGTAGGTGTTGATGGAAATTGAAGAAAATGAGTCTAAGATTACATACCTATGAAGTTGTGGTGAAATCCTCTTTAAAAAATCGCCCAATTTGGAGTTAAGATGAAGAAGTTATGAAATTTTGCAAAAATCCCGTATTAGCTTCTGTTTTAAGTGCTGGGCGACAGTGTTCATCGCGTTCGCGAGAACACTGTCGCGATCGCGAAGGGCTGCCAGAAGTAGACTTACTCGATCGCGATATCCTACGCATTCGCGAAGGGTTGACCCCTCTGACCTTCGCGTTCGCGGACCAACATACGCGTTCACGTAGAAGAATCGACAACATCCCAGCCCCCTCCAATTAACACTACGCGTTCGCATCACACAGGTCGCGTTCGCGATGAGCAATCCCCTAGAGATCCGCGCTCGCGACTGTGGCTTCACGTTCGCGATGGACAAATCCACCCCTGTCCCCATTTACCTTACGCGATCGTGAGAGTTACTACGCGATCGCGATGAACAACAGGTTTGAGCACCTGCAGCAGAATTTCTGCAACTTTTTCTTAAGTCTAAAACTTCCCGAATCACATCCGTAACACACCCGAGCCCTCGGGGCTCCTGACCAAATGCACGTACTAGCTCAACAACATCATACGAACTTATCCGTGCGATCAAATCGGCAAAATAACCTCAATAACAACGAATTAAACCTCAAAATCATAGAATTTTCTCAAACTTCATAAAACATCAACTTTAGCAATTTATGTCCGAATCACGTCAAACAGACTCCGTTTTTCATCAAATTTCACAGATACATCTTAAATCATATATAAGATCTGTACCGGGCGCCGGAACCAAAATACGGGCTCGATACCACCATGGTCTAATCAAATTTCATTTCGAATTTTCTTAAACAATTTCAGAAAATAATTTTCTTTAAAAATTCATTTCTCGGGCTTGGGACCTTGGAATTCGATTCCGGGCATACGCCCAAGTCCCATATTTTCCTACGGACCCTCCGGGACCGTCAAATCACGGGTCCGGGTCCGTTTACCCAAAACGTTGACCGAAGTCAAATTTATTCATTTTATAGTCAAAACTTATCATTTTTCACAGATTTTCACATTTAGGCTTTCTGGCTACGCGCCCGGACTGCGCACGCAAATCGAGGCGACTTTAAATGAGGTTTTCAAGGCCTCGGAGACACAGAATTCAATTAAAAGCAAGTGATAACCTTTTGGATCATCACACTAGGCATGAAGAACCTCTTCATATCTCCTAGCTTGGGGAGGGGGGGGGGTAGGGGGGGGGAGGGTTAGAGGAATTGACAACCTGCACTAGGGTTACTTAACCATGGCTACTTTACTGTTTAACTGTTTTAGTTAGTTGTAATAGTAGTAACTAACTTTAGAGGTCGTTAGTCACAACTGTTATCCAGCTGTGATTAGCCCAGGTATGAATAGATTAGGCTATCCTCTATAAACGACTTGTAGCTCCATATGTATAGATAGGACTCATTTTATCAATTGCTCTACCTTCTAATCTCAGCTTCTTCTTCATAGTTCTCTCATCTTCTTCATTCAAGTGTTTAATCAATTCACTCAATTCATCGATCAATGGAGATTTAACAAAAATTCATTCAAAATAACTTAAAATATGTATGAAGATACTAGGGTACGGCCTTAATAATCTTCTTTTGATAAGAACCTGCTTTTCATTAACCATTTCTAATTAATTTCAGGCTTTCTTTTCAAGTCAAACTACTAGGACCTAGACAACCTTTGACTTGCACCCTATATACCTAGCAACTAGGGTACTTGTCCCATGATACAACCCAAAGAACAAAAGTGAAACACATAAGTACAAAATTAGCTGAATGGGAACAAACTGGACCACATTTAGAAACCAGACCAAGTGCTTTACAACAATTAATCCATATATTATGGTGTGTTTTGGTAGGAAGGGAAATATTTCCTTATCAAGAGAAGGGAAAATATTTTCCAAAACTCCTTCTCAACCTTCCATACCCTCACCAACCCAAATTCTATTTTTTCGTTTTTCTACCCCCCGCCCCTCCCCCCTTGAGAAAAAAATATTTTTTAATATATTTACGGATTAGAAATTCTGCTGTTTCGAAAATTTAGCGATTCGAAAGTTTATGAAAAATGTAGGTTTGGAAGGTTGTTGGTTTGAAAGTTTATGACTTCATGTTTTATTATATCTAAATTATTTATGAATACTCTTGAGAAGTCATTTTCCTTAATTTACGTACCAAACACCGAAAAATGAATAAGATTACTACTTGTTTTCTTGAAAAACATTTTCCGTTATACGAAAAACACCCTATATATTTAAACTTTAGATACTGTCAACGGAAAAATACAGTTGTATCATGCTTTGTCTAGTCAACTTTGATAAGCTTCGTATGCAGCTGCTTCAATTGTCTTTCACAGCTCTGAAATACCAAGTAGAGTACGAACAAATCGCTGATCCATAAATAGACCAACGTGCAACTAACAGGAGTATAATTTCGGCTTCCTCCAAAATTTTGACATCATAACAATCTAAACAAGCGTGTTCTACTCTTCTTCCTTTTTTAAAGAGTAACAATCAAAATCCAAATAAGCGTTTACAAAGCACAATGGGCTTTATTTATCAGTTACACCCAATTGTTTACATTTCAAGCTTGCATCAAAGCCAGCCTCAAGCAGAAATAGATGAATGAGAAACTAGAGGCGAAAGGGATTTACTGACAAGAAAATTTATCTCAAGATAGTATTTTACATTTCTCTGACATGAAGATCACAATAAAATGTTAAGACACCAGCATCAGTGGTCGTGCCCTTGTGTTGTGCATTCGAAACACATAATTTCATATCATCTGAATATCATTTGTGGACTGATGAAGGAAATAGCAGGAATGCCTTGCCAGAAACACATCATCAGCAATGTTGTTGCAGTGGATGACCAGTGTCCTCTAGGAAACAGTAGCATAGAGCTAGGGATCCAAAATTTAAATAATCGCCCATCAACAAAACCTTGGATGAAGCTTAATGTGCACTGCTTTTTCTATTCATCACGTCGTGGTAATACAAAAGCACGCACATTGGCTGACCAAGGATGCAGAAAAAGCACCAGAACATCATATTGCCCACCTAGAAAGATTCCCCATATATAATCTAATATTAATCGCTTGCATTATACTCTACATGGATTTAGAAGGAGCCGGGGAGGGGGGGGGGGGGGGTAGCTTAGCGTATGGAAATATAACATACCATCGAGCTTTGGAACTTGTTCTGTAAGAAGTTTGTGAGTATGACCAAAGGAACCTGAGAAACAACACCATATTTTATTGTTCAGCATGGACAACTAAGATAGAAAACCTTGGCTTTCAATTGTTTTTTTTTCATTTGTTAATGCTTTAAAAGCAGTTTTCTTTGGAAACACAAAGTGAGTTTAAATTCAATGCAATTATGGGTACTATCTATAGTAAAGCATAAATGGCAACCTGGTAACTAACTCAATTCCAATAACATGTTAGGTCACTATGTTAGATGCCATTACCTGGAACATAATTCCACTGAATGCCCACCACTTGAAAAGGCGACATGGAACAGCAATACACAGCTGCAGATACGCCGGAACATGTCATCTCAAACCAATCGTAAGCTGACATTACCTCCTTTCACCATAAAATATGGAAGAGGGACAGAAACAACATACCTCGTGGAAAACAGCGGATACAAGGAAAGCAATCAGTATTGCAACCCCCTGCACCAAGTGTTAGCAAGTATTAGTCTTGTCAAAGCAGTGAGTGCAAGATCATTTGAGGCAGCAGGTTGGCGCTTTATCCTATTTGCAGACTCATCAATTAACTGAGATCTGACAGGAAAATGTAAAACATACACTGAATTGCCAGCTAAAGAAGTACTTTATGATGGTCGAATATCAGAGGCAATCTTTTTTCTTTTCTTTTGCTATTTCATTCAGAATATAGGTGTAATCTTGAGGTTTTATACCCATCTACATTGGAAATATTGGTGCTTGAAAATCGGCCAGAGATGAAAGATGGAAGTGCTATCATAAATTTTCTGAGAAAGAGCATTTTGAATAAAAACTCATCAAGTGAACACAGATTGCCGCACAACTGAAAGTAAAGGTAATTCCTTCTGCCTCAGTATAGTAAAAGAAAAGCAGACGAAATATAGTTAGTTAATTAGGAGATGAGAGCAGAAGGAAATAGGACACAAAGAAGCCCAAAAGAGCAATTAAGAGTGTGAAGGTACCTTTGGAATTCCGTTTCTTAAGCAAGGGAAATAAATGTGACGAACCATCCACTTATGAACAGGCTGCAATAGCCACCAGATACATGGTTACTAATGTTGCCGAATAACGAAAAATGCTTGACAAAGATGTAAGCTTAATATCATGTGCTTGCACTTAGATTTGTAAAGCTCCACCAACCCCTAGAGACCTTATTACCCAACCTTAAATCCCACGATTATTTTGTCCTCCATTACCAGTAAAGCCCCTGGATAGAATTTCTTTATGCAAGTCTTAGGACACATAAGTGTTTTGATCTCACATTTTGGAAAATCTCTCTAAGGTGACCTGATTATACCTTTTATTTAAGCTTTTTTGCATTTTACCAACTAAATTTTCTGGACACACGTTGGTGTCTTAAACTCTTTAGGCTTACACTTCACCACCTACTTCTTTTACATAGCCTTTGCATTAGTCACATGTTGAAAGATTGTGTTAAAGCCAACTTGGAGTGAAAGAGAAGACAGACATTTGCTTCTGTGAAAAAAAGCTGTACTTAGTGACAAAACAAACCAAGAATGACGACAGGATATAACATCATTCGAAATGTATTTTTGGTATTCTACTTCTTGGTCAATAAGACAACCACATGTTTGCATGCATAAGAATCAGGCAATGATATAGAAAAAAAGCAGATACACATACCATATTCCACATCCTCCAGTACTGATAACAGCAGCCGCAGCACCCAATCACGTAACAAAATGAATAAGAAACTCCAACCAGCTCTGAAACAGTTCAGATATAACCAAAAAGTCAAAGTGATATTTGAATCTACCTCATCAATTGTTTTGGCATTCCACCAATCCTTGTAGAACTCACGATCACCAAAACATAGAAGTTCCGCAAGTATATTTAGCCTGAATACAAAGTTAAGTGATGTAAATAGAGCTCATTCTCTTTGATGCAAGGGCACATAAGCCAAATATGTGTTTCAGTTTATTCAGAGGTAAAACGTTAAGCTCTGTGCTTCATGGAAAAGGTGAAGCTTTTCATATTCATTAACACAAAAGCCATTTCAAAGAAAAAGCAAAGAGATGAATCATGATATCATGATTTTGATGCTTTAACACTAACAAAGACAAGGAAGAATACATTGTCTAAACATCTGATGAGATGAGTTCTAATGTCATGTGAATAACCATAACTGTTCAAAGGATTCAAACAGAGCCTTGGCATTAAGGCATTCACAACTTAGAGGCACTTGCTTGTTCTTGGGACTTTTTTCCTCTTTTATTTTGTTTGGGGTTGGGGGCAGGCAGATATATACTGTTACTAAAACCATTCAGGCTCATTGAGAACCTCCAGGTTCCTTTAGTGAACCTTTCTAATCCCCCCCCCCCCCCATAGTAAGCACTAATTGTGTTTAGAAACTCCAATTACAGTAAAAGGTAATCCATGATTTAATAGTAACAGCTTGTTTGGATGGTTGTTACCTGTTCATGTTGTATTGTATCGTATTGTTACTTTAAATACAATGTTATTATGATTGTTACTTAAATTTTATTGTATCGTATCGTTTAAATCTGTCGTTATGTAACGACGAAAAGTGCTACTTTATGGAACAACTGATTTGGTGTGGTCGCGTTGTTTCCTTATTTTTTTTTTCTCTCATCTTGCCCTTTTTTATTATTAAATAATTTTATTTTATCCTTTACTCTACCTTTTTATATAATAATATTACCTCGTACCTTACTTTTTCTTTATAATATTGCAAGTTTATTCTTCATATTATTGGTGCATGATATTATGAAACGACGGCAAACAATACAATCTATCCAAACATTGTATACATCAAAACGATATAGTACAATACTATACGATACATTATGAAACAATACATAACAACCATCCAAACAAGTTGTGAGTAAATGACCATTAAAAGTTCAAAGAAACATGTTTCAATTGAAAAAGGGGGAAACTGTGCAGACATACACTTCAATGATGTTAATGATACTTGTTCTCAATTTTAAAGCACAAATCTCTGGCAAAAAAAACAATTCGGACATTGAACATAGGGAAAAGATGTAAAGAGTATATGAAATAAAGGTAGAGGGACATACCAAAGATGAAAGAAGCAGTAAAACATGCAGAGCCAGACATATAAATTTGGGACCGAAAGCTTCAATACCCTCTCGATGGCATATAAAAGGTTTCCTTTCAAAGGATGTTGTGAGTTTTGCACAATTGGGTTAATGTACTGCACAAGGATGCATCCCGTCAGAATATATTTACGCTTTACTGGAGCAAATGCAGTTCGAACCTTCAAGAAATAATCACCTGTTCTATGATAAATCCCATCAATCCTGTAAATATTACAAGCTTGATGAATTGGCGTGCCACCCAACCTTTGCGAATGCATGGAGTGCGGGGATAGCTAAGCTTCAGATAACACAATAAATAAACCCAAAAAATAATGAGTTAGATGCCAGAAACCTCCTAGAGTGAACTCTCTCTTTTCCCTTAAATAGGTTTTTGATTAAAAATGGGATTTAATAATAAGATGAAAGCATATATTATTAAAAGAAAGGACGAGGGCAACACCATAAGTTATAAATCCAGATAGAAAAAGAGGCCCTTCCATAAAGATAATCACGGATTGAACTTTGCCAATAGAGTCTTAGCTTCCTATTGATCTCGATCAGTCATAGCTTAATTTTTTGGTTGAGAGTTGTCTTTCTGAACCAGACCCGAAATTAGTTCGAGAAAATATGCTAAAGTAGTCAAAATGGATGAATATGTTCAATTCAATAAAGAGAATTGGAATGGTAAGAACTGAGTCATTATTTCAATGTCTGGCAGGGTCACTAATGATAACTGAGATCCTATCACTACAAATACAAGAATATAATCTTGCTGACAGAAGGAAGAGTGAGGACTCGATTATGGTATCCATTGAATGTAGCCCCAGTGCGTCTAAACAAACTGCAGGCATTTTTATTCCTAAAAAAAGACAATATGGAATTAGAAGGAATCAGATGGGAAACAGAGCAGATTTTGTTGCGAACTCAATTGCCAAATTGTTGTTAAGTCTTCATGTTCCATTTATCAAAAATCAATTTGCAAGACTTAACTTATCCTACCTGATAACATAATGTTGGCGCAACCATGAAGTAAGTCAAACTCTTGAAGCTAACATCATAAGAGTAATCCCCATCTGAAGTTTCATCCTAACAACATAAATAAGCAAGATATAAGAGACTCAATATCTTCAATAGCGCTCACAGGAGCAGAATGCTAACAAGTCTTCCAAAGGTTAAAGAGCAGAGTTGGTTAATCGAGTGATTTTTAATACACCACAAATGAAGCTTTAATCAACTGCAGAACCTCTGGGTCCATCAGAAGAGGATATAGATTAATCATACCTTATCCATAGACTTTGCGAGCTGTCTCATATCATGATTTGTATGTGCGTAAGATACCAGCTTCATCCACACAATACAAGCAACTAGCATCAATATGACACCAGACAGAAAAGCAGAATCACACCTGCGCAATTTAAAACGCATTGACTTGTTATTATTTTCAATATTATCATCTAGCCTACAAAAATAATAGTTGGACAGGTATAATTAGAAATGCTCCCCTCGTAATTGGTAATCCAAATTTACATCAGTAGTCGTCCTTCCCAATATCCCAAAACGAAGGTTTAAAAACATCTTGACCAGTAAAACTTAGAAACAGATATTAGTTCCTATGCAGAACTCCTCTCCCAATAAATGGGCAACTTTTGACATCTAAGATATTCACCAGTTGTAGCTAAAAAAATTCTCAGTTAACCACAAACATGGCAGTCAGCAAGGGCCACCCATCATACACTTCTAAGAGGATGTATATCAAAGTTTCATGACTACAGAGCATAAGAACATACCCGAGAATGACCAGAACTGGATACAAAATGGCAACTGTTGTTATAGTTATGTGAAGAGTAACCACCGCCTGCAGAATCAGAAAGAAAATTTCATGATTAACTTTGAGTCTTAGAGTAATGAAGGATCATAACAAGTTCAATCGTCAAAACATCAGAAAGGATAAAACACAACGGCCACAGACAGTATAAACCTCCTTCACTATAAACAGGAATAAGAATCAGTGAGAACACTATGTGAAAGAAATATTTACTTTTCATAAACAACAAAGGATTTTAGGAAGAAAAAAAAGGCAGAGAAAAAGAGGTGATTTCGACTTACACGCTCAGTCAAACGCCTCTGCAGTGACAACTTCTCCACAAGAAAAGCAGCGAGTGGCAAAATTTGGAGACTCAGACTGGAAGCACATCAAGACTTTCATTTTTTTGTCTAAAGAATAGTAGGTATTAAGACCAGACCAGAGAAAGAGAAGGGATCAAGATGGCAATACCAGCACATTAGAAGCGGCCAATCTCTTAACGACTTCGAGCTAAACCAAAAGCCAGCCCTAATTAAAAGGCCATACTGCAATAGTAGTCAAGAGTTTGTCATCAGCAACACAATACTTAAAAAACATTTTGAAATGACATATCATATCTTTTGTAACCCTATTCCTATTCATTGCTTGGCTTTAATGTGACACTGATACAAGTGGCCAGGGTACAAATCGCATTGTTAATCAAATTGATTAGAATGATATTACAGAAAGATGTATACCTTCATCATGATTAGAATGATATTACAGAAAGATGTATACCTTCATCAAGTTCTCGATAATCAGCCTGCTGTTAACAGCAATCAGCACCACCACACAGAGATTGAACAGCCCTGCGTGACTCTACCACGTGAATCATATATTGGGTGTTAGCAAAGAGGTATATGGCCGCTTTTGTGCAGAGCTACAAGCACTAGTGAGCCACATGAAATGGAATCAAGAAAGCCGCAAAATTGAAATTCTTTGGTCTACTAAAAGTTTGTACACTTCCACTTTCCTCATTAGTTCACAAATAGTTAGTGCATACTGATAATAATTGTTACCATTCTACAAAATTAGTGAATACTGACAATATAGCATAGTTACTCTTATGCTCCTTATAAAATAATATAGTAACTCTTATGCTATAAGCACTTGTGAGCCACATGAAATGCAATCCAGAAAAACATGACACTCAGATTCTTTAGTCTGTAGATATCCATTGTCTTCATTAGTTTATAAGTGAGAACTATAATTTTGCACAGTAACTCTTAGCATTTGTCAAGGTCTCCTGCTACATTTTTCACTATAAGCACAGTACATGGTAAACATTTCTACTCGTTCAACTGTCGGTGAAAATACCTGTTTGTGATCAAACCAAATATCACAAGAGCTCATTACCTAATACCTATTGACCATATTGTATATATCATCCTAGATCATGCAGCGTCAAAACCTATTATTCAGATGATGGATTAAGGAGCAGCTTCTCTTGTGTCATGATCACTGACAGTAGCAGGACTACCTTTTTGGTTGACCTCTTTGTCTTAATACACTATCTTTCTGATGATGGGTAAGCAAAACTTCTTTTTCGCATGATCACTGGCAGTAGCAGGAATATCTTTTGGTAATCATAGACTAAAGGTTGATACATCTACAACAACAATAACAACAAACCCAGTGGAAACCCACAAGTGGGGTCTAGGAAGGGTAACGTGTACGCAGACATCATAAGCTAGAGAGGTTGTTTCCGATAGACCTTCGGCTCAATAACAATGAAAAGGAAGCAATAAACAAATAATAGCAACAACACGTAATAGGCAGCGGAAGCAAATGGCAGAGTGTAATAACAAAGATCTAGGAATACGATAAAGGTTGATACATCTAAAAACTGAAAACAGAACATGAAAGCAATTTGGATTGCAAATTTTTGACTTAGACTCTAGGTTAGCCATGAGATTGGACGAAGTACATCAAGGACGCTTGCGATACCTAGTTTGCACTGATATGGGACAGTCTTTTTGATGTTCATGCGTAAAAAGGACAAACTACAGCACACTGAGATACAACTGATCCTTTTTAGTAGAAAATATCATTCAAGCAAATGTGAAAGTCATGTTGCCTGATGACAACATAGGCTTATGGAAAACCCTAACTGCATTTAATAGTGGTATGCTTCTTATTCTTCACCTAATTTTTCAGCATTTAGTATCATCTGTATTGATCTGAACTTGATTCTTTATTATGGTGTGTTTTGGGAAGGATATCCTTTATAACTCTAGTGCATGGAGTCAACAGACAATAAGAATATATTTTCCCAGCTCAAGAACAAAAGCAAATCAAAAGATAAAATTTGACTCATCGTTGAGCAAGTGGTTCAATGAAAAATGTAAAAGTTATGTTACAACCTAAGCTTATATGTCCCCCTCTAACTTTGGTTTCTTTTACCATCATCAAACAACTCATTTGTCGAGTTCAACAGAAGCTACTTCACATATGACAATGTGAACAATGACCACAAAACAACGACAACAGCAACATCAACCCAGTAACAATGGTCACATAACATTGTGGATTTCACAACATGGATGAGAGTTGAGACCACATGAAATGAAGAAATACAATTTTGTTTGAAGAAAAATAAGATTTTACTTCTTTTTTCAGCCCTGTTTCAGCATGTTTTGCAGTCCATTACGACAAAGATTCTCCTTTTCTTTACCATCTCAAGAAAATTAATCCTCAAATATGACTATAAATAGAAAATTAACAGTTCTGTAGAATGCAAATAATTAAGGTGCAGAAGGTGTTCTCTGTCATCAACAGCTCACAGCATGATTTTTTCCGACTCAAACATAGACCCGATATTGAGTGTCTATGTACTTCTAATTATGCTAACCGATTACCATCACCACTATCATTCCCAGCTTTAGCAGGTAATCAGCCAACTGAGAAATACTTATGAATTTATGTGGTTAGACGCCTTCCTATAAATCACAGACCAAAAAGAAAAATCCTAAAATAGACGTGCTACCAATAAACACGAGGCTTGTTAGACCTCCTATGCAAGGAGGAAGCACAAATAAGGAGTCACCTAACTACTAGGCCTAACCTTACACCATCTAGAATAAGCTAAATTCCTCTGTTAAACGCATCTTAGCAAACTCAAATTCTAATATCATAAGCTTACATACAGTTTAAGAAACTGAATTTACGAAATGTAATATTCCAACACAGCAACAGGTCAAAATAGCACGGCGAATAGTGCACATGACACACCTGTTTGAAAATGGCGTCGGAGCTGAGAGGACTCTCCTTGATTCGCCGGTGAGCTGGTGCCGACGCCCTGTAAGCAAATTTAAACGGCGTCGTTGTTGTTTCCGTTGATTTGCTTTCCTCACCATTCGCAACATTATCATTCCTGTCCTCCTCCTTTCGAATAACATCACTGGACTCACCAACCGATTTACTCCGCTCATTCACCGTTTCCCATCCAGCACCGCTGCCACACACATCTCTTCTATCTTCGCTTGTATTCGCATCCGATCTGTCGATTGCACTAACCGCTTCAAAACCATTACTGCCACGTCTCCTCCGAACCGAGTGATTAAGATTGGAGTTGAGGTTCTCAATACCTGAAGTCGTCGTCGTCATTTCGACGCTCTCCGGCAATTCCATGATCGCCATTGCTTACTTTCGCCGAATCACAGAAATCACAGAATAGAAAGTAATGGATACTTCTAGAAAGAGTAAGAAAATCGTGAAGAGAGAGTTTGAATAAACACCAAAAATCAAAATCAACCTTCACATGCAATGAGTCGTTGTTATTGGGGAAAAAAAAGAATGACAGAAAAAGAGGATCTAAGAAAAAAGTAACGGAGGATTGGGTGAGATTTCGAAAACTAATTATGATTTGCTAGTTAAGGCGGTTAGATTTTGATTTTGATTTTTTACTTTTTCTGTATTCGTAATTGTAATACTGGATTTATATTATGTGCAATAGAGGAATATGGTGGAATTTGTGCAATTTTCTAGGAGGATGGGTCAAAGAAGGAAGTGACAAAGATCTTGAAAAGCCGCTTGGAAGTTTATGAGAGGAGGCAAATTTTATAAGCGTGCCGAAGAAGACGTCATGTTTATAGAGGACAAAAAATGGTTAAATGCATTAACTGCGGATTAAGAATAAAAAATTTTATTATAACTTATAAGTTCGTTATGTATAGGAGGTTCGTTTTGAGGTACTAGATCGTGTTTGTCTTTTCTTTTTTAAACCTTTAAAAAGACATGTGTGTTCACACTAATCTTACTATTTTCCATATATAGCTCTGGACCCTAGTTGCTCGTTATTGTTATGGCATGTCATCATTTTATAGTTATGTTGACGATATTGATAAATTGTCTTTTCTTATTTTATTGCCATTTTTCTGAGCCAAGGGTCTATCGAAAATAATATTTTTGCCCTATCGAGGTAGGGGTAAAGTCTATATCCTTTCCAACTCCATTTAGTGCGACTTTAGTGGGTCGTTGTTTGTTTGTTTGCTTTAAAAAGACATGTGCGTATGCGTTTATGACTTGTCTAGCTCCTTTTAGTATCATCATGTTATTTTAGGCAAGTAAATAAATATTCTCTTTCATTTTATATGACCGTATTTATTTATTTGGGCAGGATCTTAAGGAAAGAAAAAAGTGTTTGGCACTAACTAAGATCATATATTAATTCTCATTCAACACTTATACCAAATTAAAATGAATACCGATATGTTTTCATACATGAAAGATGGTTAAGTCTTTCTCTTATTTTAATTTTTAACTTCTAATTAAGTATATATTTGTTAAATATATAATGATATTTTTATGACGACACAGCATGTTATCTATATTGATATATTAAAGCAAGAAAGTTACCATATATAATATGGTTAAGCCAAGTGGCAAACTAATAAATGTCAATAGTATATGGTAACTTTATTCTATATTTGACTATTTTAGTTATATATATATATATATATATATATATATATATATATATATATATACGAAATTTGAATTAAAAGATTATTTTGAATTTATAGATAAAATTCTAAAATTCGAATTTAATTACAAACAAAAGTTATCTTTTTTTAATCATGTTATCATACTTAATTTGGTAAATGATCATATGCAATCATGTTAGGAACTTTTATTATTTTTTATAATTATTTAAATACTACTTCGCCTCTAGCAAAAAAACTACTTCATATAACTATAATACTCTTTCACATTTAAAATTCTATTGTAAACAATAAATTTGCGTCGAGAAAATAAAATCAAGACCGAAAAATATTGCAACAATCGTAATATTTTATTTTGAATATTTGAGTGTACAATCTCTATGAATCCTCTGATTCTTCTTTCCAATTTTAATTAAATTCAAGGGCCTCTCGAATCTATGTTTGTTGCCACGAACGATGATCTTGTTCTTGAGCTTTAGCTTGATTGCTTGAACTTAACCTTGATTTGTTCTTCATTCTTGAGCTTGAACTTGATTTGTTCTTTGTTCTTGAGCTTGAACTTGATTTGTTCTTCGTTCTTGAGCTTGAACTTGGTTTCTTGAACTTGAACTTGATTGCTTGAAGCTTGAAACTTGTAGAGAAATTTGTGGCGTTTGATCCACGAGCTCTCTCTTGCTTCTTGTTATAACTTCTGGTGTCTTTTCTGAGTTATGAAAACTCATATTTATAGTTGTGGAAGGGAGGAGTTGTGATAAGAACAAACTCTTTCCGATCAATCAAACTGAAGTGTGACATGGCCGTATTTGATTGGCCAGAACATGTCACTTGCACACGCGGCACGATTTCATTGGCCTTTTAGTGTGACTGGGCATGCCTTGTTATTTTGACATGTGGCATGGTCCTATTGGCTCTTCCGCTTGACTTGGCGCGCCACGTCATTTGACACGTGGCACCAAACTGGGCCTCTAGGAAGATGACATCTTGGGCTTAATGAAGTGGGCTCATCACTTTAGCCCAATTAAATGGGCTAGCCCTATGGATTAAGACTTATTTATTTAATCCATACATATTGGACTTATATAATTAATTCAATTATATTAGCCAATAATATTTATTTGGACCAATATATCTTGAATTTAAAATATAATCCAAATTATCTTATGAATTTAATTTCAATAAAATTCATATGCCTACAAATGCCCCCTACTTCAAGACTTATCGGAGTGTGGACTAATCGAGATCCAAAGATTGGGCTTGAAGTACGAGGAGTTGAACTTCCTCTTTCCTTGAGTTAAGAAAATAATTACCATATTATAATGGCATGTATACAGATACATAATGACCAAACATTAGTCATTATGTAGGACAAACTTATGAAAACCCCATTTTCATTCTTTGCATTAAAGAAAAGTTTTCATTTCATTTGACATAGCAATTTACACCACTAAGTTACGTGGATATCCATTATCAGCATACTTAATCCCTATAACATTGACGTCTTCCTCTGAGTTGGTCTTTCATTTTCCGAGTAGAATTGTTAAAATGCAGGGTCGTTATGCACAACTAGCATTCTTCAAGTTTGAGTAGGAATAGAATTATAGTGTTCCAATACATGATGGAAACTAATTGGCCGCCTTTTCAACCAATCCCACATCGAAGGACACCTTCTCAGCACTCTCTTTGGGATCTCTATACATAGATCATGTTCTTTAACTCGTAGGTACTAATTTGCTGGGCCCTTTTGCCAATTCATAGAGCAAGAGCACAGTGAAGGTAAATCCCTTTTTTTTTCCTTTTTTTCCCATCGAAGGATAAATCCGCAATAACTTATAGACGGTTAAATCCATAACAATTTATAGACGGACGGATCTTGCAACAACTTATAGACGGGCACATCAACATCAAGATATAGACGGGCACATCCACCTCAATATATAGACGGACAAATCCACCTCAACATATAGATGGACAAATCCGCATCAACATATAGACGGACAAACCCGCATCAACATATAGATGGACACATCCGCATCAACATATAGACGGACACATCCACATCAATATATAGACGGACACATCCACCTCAACATATAGACGGACATATCCACATCAATATATGGATGGACACATCCGCATCAACATATAGATGGACACATCCACATCAACATATAGACGGACAAACCCCATCACCATATAGACGGACACATCAACCTCAACATATAGACGGACACATCAACCTCAACATATAGACGAACAAATCCACATCAACATATAGACAGACAAATCCGCATCAACATATAGATGGACACATCCGCATCAACATATAGACGGACACATCAACATCAGTATATAGACGGACACATCCACCTCAACATATAGACGGACAAATCTGCATCAACATATGGATGGACACATCCGCATCAACATATAGATGGACACATCCACGTCAACATATAGACGGACAAATCCCCATCACCATATAAACGGACAAATCCGCATCAACATATAGATGGACACATCAACATCAACATATAGACGGACAAATTCGCATCAACATATGGATGAACACATCTGCATCAACATATAGATGGACAAATCCGCATCAACATATAGATGGATAAACTCACATCACCATATAGATGGACACATCCGCATCAATATATAGACGGACACATCCGTAAAGAGGCCAGGCCAACTTAAGGTACAAAGGGAGTTAAATGTCCACCTTAAGATTGGAGAGTTATAGTTCCTTTTAAGGATAAACCCCGCGGAGAGTCCAACTTAAGGTGCAAAGGGACTCATATGTCCACCTTAAGATTGGAAAGTTATAGTTCCTTTTAAGGACAAACCCACGAAGAGGCCAACTTAAGGTTCAAAGAGACTCATATGTCCACCTTAAGATTGGAAAGTTATAGTTCCTTTTAAGGACAAACCCACGAAGAGGCCAACTTAAGGTGCAAAGGGACTCATATGTCCACCTTAAGATTGGAAAGTTATAAAGCTTCAACTCGAAGACTTCATGGACTTGATGACGTCGACTTGAACACTTGAAAAACTTTGAAGATTCGGCGGACTTTGCAAACTTAAAGTTGAAGACCGACGGACTTAAAGATTTCAACTTGGAGACTTCTAGGGCTTAAATAACTCAACTTGAATTCTGGTGAACTTAAGGACTTCAACTTGAAGGCCGATGGACATGGAGGGCTTGAATACTTCAACTTAAAGACTGGCGGATTTGCAGACTTCAACTTGAAGACCAAAAATTTGAAGGTTTGGCAAACTTAAGGGCATAACGAATCATCGGGCTTAATTGCAAATACTTGAAAGTCTCCTAAAAGACTATAATGATTCCATTGAAGATACCAATTTACCATGGAAGCTTGCCCCTTTATATCAAATGAGATCAAAGTTCAACAGGAGGATAGCGTTTCAGCTTGATTTTACATTCCTTCATACTTCACTTGGACAACAATTGGGGCAATATGTATCTTTTGAACTTATGCGACTGAACTTAGAATGAAACTCTAAGCTGCCTACGTACCTCGGTGAAGAGGATCAAGTCATACCGTAGTTCAGACTGGGTAGATTTTTTTTTACGTCCTAACTTTTGCCTAGGCCGCCTCTTTCGAGATTTTCAACCTAGCGGACTTTTTTTTTGGGTCCTAACTTTTTACTAGGCCGCTTCTTTCGAAGTTTTCAACCTAGCGGACCTTTTTTTTAAGTCCTAACTTTTGCCTAGGCCGCCTCTTTCGAGATTTTCAACCTAGCGGACTCTTATTTTTGGGTCGTACACAGTTTATACTCTTGCGGGCCAGGAGTGTAGCAACATGCAGTTTAGGCTCGTGCGTCAAGAAGCGTCATGACTTGCAGTTTAGGCTCNTGATGGAGCTGCCAATGCCAAGGGTGTCGAAATAGGAGCTGTACTGATTTCTGAGACAGGGCAACACTACCCTGTCACTGCTCAACTCCGTTTCTATTGCACCAACAACATGGCTGAATACGAAGCCTGTATCCTGGGACTGAGACTGGCTATAGATATGGGTGTTCAAGAAATCTTGGTCATGGGTGACTCGGATCTTCTTGTACACCAAATTCAGGGAGAGTGGGAAAC